ACACTGTCACGGGGGGGTACTTCCGATGGTCCGCTTTTATTCATATGGTCTAAACTCTTGGTTCTCAATTGGTGGGTCGTGACCCTGTTTTCAGTGGGTCGCCACGTGCCTTCCACTTTTCTATGCGAGAGGCTCCTCAGCCTCCCCCTAGCATAACAATATCAGTTGTTGCGCTGAGCAGCCATTCAGAATATGCTGCCTGGCGCCAAGTGTCAGCTTGAGCAGGGGTGGGCTGGAGGTATGGGCGCGAGGGAGCTCCATCCATACATGCATTGCTTACAGTTTCCTCATGTGACCTACAGGGTGCACCAGGGAGTTGTACAAGCAATGCATGTATGGATGGAGCTCCGTCACAGCAGCCAAGCACTGGACCCCAAGCAGAGGATCGCACGCACGGTACCACGATGGCGTGCGTTCCATTGCAGTGCGACTTGGGTCGCCACTTAATGTCTAAGGACAAATGTGGGTCCTGAGGTTACACAGGTTGAGAACCTCTGGTCTAAACCTTTCCCGTAAGAAAAAAAAACAACAGTTCCAGTAAATGCAGAAGTGTTACATTGTTTCTTCTTTTCTTGGGATTTGGTTACAGCAGAGAAGGGTTAAAACTCCCGCCAGGTTATGGTTTCTGCTGTGTACCATTAAAGGAGAACTATGGGGTCAGGGCTTTTCCCCATAGTTCTCCTTAGGGTGACGGGAGGACACAAACTAGCGTCCTCCCGTCACCCTAAGCTCAGTATATTGGGAGCTACAGCTCGCGGTATACTGAGACCACCGCAGGGACGGATCCCGGCATTCTTGTCGAGATCCACCCAGCTTTGTGATTGAAAGCTGGCTCTGCCTATCTAGAGGCAGAGACAACTGTACCCGCCCCCTCCCCCATCCGTTCCGCCAGTCAGCGCTGGAGGATCGGACAGGGGGGGGGGAGGGGAATCCCTGCAGGGAGCCGTGAGTGACAGTCACGGCTCTCTGCACGGAGATGATCGAGTAGTGAGCGAGCGCCGGTATGTTTTGGATTTCCCATCACTTTCTCTCTCTCTCTCTGTGACAGTTATCGCCAGTACAGAAAGTCTCACCAAATCTGCCCAGAGGAGACACAGGCAATAGAAAAAAAAAAATGCCTCCCCCTCTCATCTAAAACTAAAAGTAAAAGTTTTGTCTTTGATGCGCTTTTAGCTTTTTTTTTCTATTAAAATATATGTCCACAGGGTGACAACACTGGTATGATTTCACTGCAGAATGAACAGCGTTGTCACCTTGTTACAGGAAGTTGCAGGATCAGCAGGTAATAAAACTGTAAACTGTGATGGCAGCTTCCATATTTCTGATCACACAGGTGGCCGAGAACGGCCCAATCCCATCTGCGATCTAATGGATCAGCGCCAAAGGCGGGTACTAGGCTGCTTGGCGCTCCCCTAGGGACGATTATGATGGGCAAGTCACATCCATAGTGGAGGATCCGGTGCTCTGCTATGGGAGGAGCTGTCTCAATGTACTGCAAGCCAGTCAGCTGACCTCCTGAATTTGCCCTTTTGAGGGGGTGGGGGGGGGCACACACGCAATCAATCTTTCTTTTTTTTGTTTGCTCGCTGTTCTAGTCCTCGCACCCCGCGCTCACTCATCAGCTGTGCCCTCCCCCACCATCCTTCATGCCTCTCCGCTGATTATCCTCCCGTCTTCAGGCCTTGGAAAAAAAAAGAATTTAATTAAACTTGCAAACAATCAAAATTCCTTAAATATCCTCCAGGTAACCCTTCGCTGCCGGCCGAGGAGACGGATCGCTTCGGGGTTCTGATTAAAGCCATAAACACTCTCCCAGTAATTGTAGTGTGATTAAAAATGAAGGATGACGCCGGAAAAAAAACCCGCCGATGGAACCGCAGCGGACTGCGGAGGAACTCCGGATCGGAATCTGTGTGAGGGACTCCGGATCAGAATCTGTGTGAGGGACTCCGGATCGGGGTCTGTGTGAGGGACTCCGGATCGGAATCTGTGTGAGGGACTCCGGATCAGAATCTGTGTGAGGGACTCCGGATCGGGGTCTGTGTGAGGGACTCCGGATCGGGGTCTGTGTGAGGGACTCCGGATCGGGGTCTGTGTGAGGGACTCCGGATCGGGGTCTGTGTGAGGGCCATTATCAGCGGATCCATCTCTAAGGTTCACCTTTTATCATTAATAAGCCGTCCTTGAGCTCCAATCATTGACTCTGCCCGGGCTGAGATGTCGTCAGTCAGCTGCAGCAGGAGGAAGCATTTCCTCAGTCTCCCCTCCCTTACATTGGTGGTCAGTGGCAATGAATCGAGCACAGACTGAGGACTGTTCCTATAAATATACTTGCCCTTTAAGCGGAGCTGCGGGCCGCGCTATCGCGTCCTCCGTATCTCGCTGTTCGGTGGCACACAAAGGTCTGTTGTCTGCGCCTGGCCTTGGGACGGAGCAGTCTCGGCCCCTGGCATCAAAGCCGGCTGTACATGGTGTGCCCGGGCGTCTCTGCCCCTCTCGCCCTGGGAATTCTTCAAGCACAGCTGCGTGGCCCTCTGTCTGGGCTCCCCAAACCACCACCGCTGTTCTCGGGGAGGAGATTAGGAACTCTGATTTATTTATGTCGAGGGACAGCTGTTGTGATTCGT